ATTTTAAAAACACAAATTATCTTGGGAGCTGATAAAGCACATGGAGACTCAGGCTCCTTGAAGGAGGCCTTGGCCTCTTACATGTTTTCCACATTCCTCAGGGATCCTGCTACAGCCTGAAGCTTTAGAACCATTGCTCTAATGCCTGCCACTAAAGGCCAGCAGGAAAGGGATATCAAGGTAAAAATCTGTCCCTGTGTTAGCAACGTCTTCCAAGGTTGAGGAACTTCTTCTCTGGCTCTGGATTCTCCGGTCTAACTCTTATTTTTTGTGCCCTGACTTTGGTTTCATTCATCTGACTCTATTCCTACCTTCAGTTTCTACTTTCAGGTCTCATCTCCCAAAATCTCCATCCTTCTATTCTCAGATGTTAAACTGATTTTTGTGACACTCGTTTCCATGCTGGATTGGTTTTCTTGACTCTAGACTATGGGTCCTAATTGACCCTATTCTAGTATTTCAGCTGCAAAAGCTGAGCTCCTCTTTTGGAAACTCAGTGGTATCCCAGCTCATTCCACCAACAGCCAAAAAGCATGGGGAAATCTTGGGGCTTATAAAGTATTATATATCAGTGGATAATTATCGGCCCTTCATAGCATAATTCCAATGTTCCAGTTTTGTCTCCAACCATCTTCTTTCACCTACAGGTCAACCTGGCTCTCCCTTGGTCCCAGTCAATTTCTAGTTTAATGCCTTTCCTAAGCAGCCTCTTAGAGCTGCTGAGAGCCAGTTGCTTTATCCTCTTAGTTTTGATATACAGAAATCCTAACTATGTTCTTCCCTACAGGTCTCCAGTGGATCTTCTTTATCCTGGGACTTTTGCTTATTTAACATTAACCTCTCGAGTAATGTTTTTCTTCTTGAATTTTGTCCCATTTTTCTTATTATCTTTCTTCATATTTTTAGCCCTCTAGATATACCCTGTGTACCAAGTCACCTGCAAACACCAAATATGGCTTGAATATAGGTGATAGCATTAGTCGTTAAATACTCAGGCTTTGTAGTTGTCCATCCTAGACTCAATTCCTAAATCTGTGACTTTCACATTTCTTTCCTCCCTTGAAAAATGGAGCAATAATAGGATCCAATTTATAAGATCATTAGTAGAAGGAAGTAAGGCAATGTAAATAAATCTAATACATACTAAGTGCTCAAAAACTCGTTGGTGTTTATCATGCATTTTGAGATGGAAATTTGGATCATGTTAATTTATTGATTGGTTGAGTTTTATGTCTGCAAATTCTCTTACAGCCCAAATACAAACCTGGTTATTTCTTAATATTCATGGCTCCAGATCATCAAATCGTAGCTGTCATTATGTATCACAATTGCTAGAAAACTACTGCTCCTTGGTCTACTCCACTGAAGGTAAGGGTAGTAGCAAGTTTCATCAGTGAAGTGTTCATATTTCAGAGAAAGAGCAAGCTGAGTTTGAACCATGACACCTATGAAAGGAAGTGGAGAGGTTCAACTCAGGTGCTGTCCACACATTCTTTGAGTAAACATTTTCTGTCAGAGCCTTTCTGTGTTGAGTGGAAATGACCAGGCTTTTAGACCTTCATGTCATCAGTCACAGGATGTGGCAGCTCCAGAGAAGCTGTGGTCTCAGGTAAGGAGCTCTGCAGGTGACAGTAACTTTAAAGACACCGATAGCAGGAGGTTGTTTGTTGATGTTTCTCCTGTGCTCTGCAAGAAGTTCATCCTGGAAGAGCAGATGGTGCTTCTCTGTGCCCACTGGAGTATTTCCATTGCTCTCTAGATTTCAGGAGGAAAACGAATGCCTGTGACATGTACTAAGCTGTTGTGATGTAGTGACTCTGCCAGTGTGTTTAGCAATAATGTGCTGGCTAAGATTCTCTATTGTCTTTGTTCTCACTGTGGTAACAAAATACCATACACTAGGTGGCTTACAAACCACAATAATTTATTTCTCCTAGTCCCAGGGGCTAGAAAGTCCATACTCTAGTTGTAGATAGATTGGGTGTCTTTAAGGGCTCATTTCTTGATTTACATTTCACCACAGATGCGGACTTCTTGCTGTCTTCACAGAGTGGAAAAAGCAGGCCACTTCCCTGGGATGCTTTTTTATAAGGGCACTAATACCATTCATAAGGGCTCCACCCTCATGACCTTATCAACTCCCAAAGCACCACCTCCTGATATTATCCTCTGGAGGTTAGAGTTTCAACACAGGAATTTGGGGAGGAACACAAACAGGTGTACCATATCACTGATCAGCAAATCTGTGGACAAACAAGGCACTTGAGAAGTCCAAAGATATGCATAACTTCAGGTAATTAGATTCCTAGACTACACTATAGGTTTTTATTGTCACAAACAAGAACAGAGAAATAAAAGATGTAAACAGGAGGTGAGGAATGGTTTATTTTAAGTGTGTATCAATCCTCTGCTAGCACAGACAGTCAGCAAGTAGCATTTGTACACAGAACTCCCAGGACTCCACTTTCCAAAATCACTCAGGCTATCACTTCATAACTTATAAAAGGCCCAGTTTTAATAGCGTGCAAGGAATTTTAAAAGAGAAACCTAAGCACTGATTTACAGCTTATTTTCTAGGGTGACAAAAACTCAAACCTGACGTACTTAAAAACAGCTTTCCCAGTCTTAATAAATGTTTCATTTCTTGGATGCTGTGGTCTTTGTCTTCATTCTTTAAACCCAGGAGGAACTGGATTAATTCCTGAAAGAAAGATAAACTAAAGTGATTTTGTAGTACATTTGGGTGTTTTCTGACTCCCTTTGGCCAGGATGGCCATACATACAGAGCGTAACGAGACCTCCATGGAGCCTCAGGCCTGAAGAACAGGAGACTACCACTCATGTGGCAGTGCACAGAAAAACCATTTTCTCTGATTGTCCATGGCAGATTCTCACTGCATTCATCACATCAATCACATCAGTCAAACAGCAAGTGCAGGCTTGTAAATGAATTATGACTCCAATGATCAGAAAGATGCAATTAGGTCCTTACCATCTAAGGTAGTATGGCTCATCAGTGAAGAGTATACAGTTTGGAGAAAGAGAAACCTGAGTTTTAATCCTGAAACTGTGAGGATAGCTGTGGTAGTTATCCATATGGTTTTGCTTCTCTAAACCTTAGTTTTTCCGTTTTTATCTAAAAATTGAGATAATGCTTCCCAACTGGGAGACAGTGATATTTATTGTCTCCTTCTGCACATCCGGTGATCTTTCAGTGTGTCCTTTTGTTAGCAAATGTGTGGCAACATTTGCTCCCTGAGTCCACATCTTCATCACTCATTGTTATTTTGTCTTTGAATGTTCATTACGCCTCACATGAGACATTTAGTATATTCATTTTCCAGGGCTGCAGTGATTTGAACAATGAAACTTAATGAAACAATGAACTTAAGTGGCTTTGAACCATGAAAATGTAGTCTCTGGTAGCTCTGGAGGCTAGGTGTCTCTACTCAAGGGCTTTTCTCTCTAAAGGGTGTAGAGGAGCATTTGTTGTGTGCCGTTCTCTTTGCCTCTGGCGTTGATGGCCATGCTTGGCTTTTGTGGCTTGTAAAACTCCAAGGACAGAGCTCTTCCCATGTGCCTGTGTCTCTTCTCTTATAAGGAAGCTGGTCATTTTGGATCAGGATCCACTGTAATTATCCTACACTAACTCAATCATATCTGCAAAGACTATCTCTAAATAAGGTCATATTTGCAGATAGCTGGATAGATGCATCTTTTCAAGACCCACAAAGTATTTATTGTCATGCTTTACACACTAAGTATTCCACAAAGAAGTGGTATCTACATGGTATTTTCCAGCATTTCTCTATTCTTTCACCCTTGTAATGTTCAAGAAAATAATATTTTAAATTAACTATTTATTTATTTATCTATTTATTTATTTATTTAGTGGTACTGGGAGATTGAACCTAGGAGTGCCCTACTACTAAGCTACATACCCAGTTTCTCTGTGAATCTTAGCTCAGTTCAGAGTAGCTTCAAGATGATATGGTCTAGAGTTATACTACTTGGGTTCAAATACTGGTTTTGCTAATGAAAATTTTAAAAATATTTAAATACAAAAAGATTAAAAATATGCTGCCATGAAAAGTGCTTTACATGAAAAAATATGGTCCACAGCCTTATTAACACTGCAAATTGTATACCTTAAAATTTAGAGAACACGTGACGTTACCTTCTTGAATCTTGCCATAAATATAATTTGGATTCACTCATCTTTTTCTAAATTGGTAAATTTATATAACATTATTTCTCTCCCCCAATTTTATAGACAAAATACAAGTAAGTATTTCTTCAAAAATATCCTGGAAGGAATAAATAGGACACACATGTATAAATACTGAATAGTTTCTCTGGTGTGAGAAACTGAAAGTGTAAATAAGGACTAAAATGTATAATAGGTAATGT